ACCACCTCTTCTGCTGGGAGCCTCTGCTGAGCAGGGGGCAGGGGAAGTGGCAGGGATGCTATGTACATGTATTTTTAGCCATTTCATGAATATGGATGATTTTAGGGAGCAGATGAGGAACAGGAGTTGGCAATAACATGCAGGAATCTGATGTGAACTGTCACATTACTTCACACAGGATCTCTAAGAGGCCTACCGTCTCTTCATTTCACACAAAATCAAAGTAAAATAATTAATTTATTCTGCTATTGTTGTATATATAGCACATTCTCCCAAGTGCATGTGAGAGGGTGAGTAATTAATGACAGAACTTTCATTTTTGGGTGAACTATCTCTTTAAGTACAATGATTAGGTGGTTTCTGATCATAACAGGTTAATTTAACTATGAGTAAAATGCAAAATGCAAAGTCCATCATCATCAAGATTCAGGTCAGGTGATGTGAAATTAAGATATGAAATTAACTGTAGCATAAATGTTGGCCCAGCCAATGCAATGAGGGGTTATTGCTATGGCAGATTAGCATAAAAACAGACAAAATATGTTGTAGAATTAAAATCTGAAATCTGTTATGAAATTTATAAATGTAGAATAGAATGACATAAGTATATTGCACAACATTTAAGATAAAAACAGCTGAAAATTTCTGAACACATGAAAGCTATACTATAATTAACAGTATACAGAAAGGGGGAACTGCAAAAAGAAGTCTGTTGTTGTGTTATGAATAGCCTCCAGTATGAATGACTGTGCCAGTTGGTAGAGCATCATGGCACAAGTAACCAGCACAAAAGAGAAAACAGTTGGAACTGCTGATGAAGAAAATCTCCCAGCACCACAAGCTGCCCCTTAAAAATATGCTGGGCCTTTAACTTTTATTGCAAGAACAGTATACGTACATGCATTTATTTCAGTGGAAATAATGAAAAATTATAGTTTCAAAAGCCATTATTTAAGTGCACCTGAGGTCCTTGGACCCTAGTTAAAGGAGCTAGTCTGCAGTGGAAGCAAAGGGCTCGTTCCCATGTGGCGGCACTCAAATGCATCCAGCAGAAACTTGCCTTTGAGCCGGCAATGCCCATCACCTCATCCACAGAAAGCAACCTTTAATCTGCCTCACCAACACATCTGTTTTGAAGCAAAATTCTCGCTATGCCCGAAAGCACCTACCACTGCGGGTTCACCTGTAGGGTGAATTCCACCTCATACCACCTCTTCTGCTGGGAGCCTCTGCTGAGCAGGGGGCAGGGGAAGTGGCAGGGATGCTATGTACATGTATTTTTAGCCATTTCATGAATATGGATGATTTTAGGGAGCAGATGAGGAACAGGAGTTGGCAATAACATGCAGGAATCTGATGTGAACTGTCACATTACTTCACACAGGATCTCTAAGAGGCCTACCGTCTCTTCATTTCACACAAAATCAAAGTAAAATAATTAATTTATTCTGCTATTGTTGTATATATAGCACATTCTCCCAAGTGCATGTGAATGAAAAGTGAATAATTAAAAAATGTTCATACAAGTAGGATCAGGATCAAAATCTAAACACAGCAATATGAGTACAGACTAGGTTGCTGTTTATCAAAAGGGAAACACATCATTTATTAATTGTACATCACAGATTAAAGAAAAATCTCAGATAAAAAAAAAAACCATCAAATTATTAGTTTGCTAGTTTTTGGGTCTGTAATGGATAGATCACCACAAAAAGAAATGTCTGTTATAATTTATTCACCCTCCTGGTGTTTCAAACTTGCACGACTTTTTCTTCTGTGGAACAAAAAAAAAAAAGATATTTTGAAGAATGTTAAAGCCGTTTTTGTCCATACAATGAAAGTAAATGGGGTCCAAAACAGCACTGGACCTCTTAGACTTTAATTGTATGGAAAAAAACGGCTTTAACATTCTTCAAAATATCTTTTTTTTTTGTATCTTTACATTTTTCAAAGTATCTTCTTTTGTGTTTCACAGAATAAAGAAAATCATAGGTTTGGAACAACGCGAGTAAATGATGACAGAAGTTTAATTTTATCCCTTCAAACGTCATGAAAACAACTTGTCAAATGGCAAAAGTGCATGTTTTTCTGCACCACAAGTCTACCAGTGGACCGAAACAGTTTGGTCACAGCTGGGAACTGGAGATATGCAGGAAAACACTTTCTGGTGTGACAGCCTCAAACCACTCTCACTTAAACCATGAGGTCTTTTTATCCTTTAGCACATGCACGTGTTTGCCAGCTTCAAATAAGGATTCTGGGATGGAAGTCTAAGGTGTTTGTTGACTTTCGGTTCCTTGGTATGTTTCTTTTGATGAAATTCTTTGTGGCTTATCTTTCAAATGTTTCATTCAGGGAATAAAATAGAAAAACAAAAACGTTTGTGGGAATATGAAGGAATGTTGTGTGATGTTTCTGAAAAAACAGGAGCTAAAGTGAATGTATCTACATGGAGATTGTAATATACATTTTTTTCTTTTTAAAAGAAGTTTTTCAATTAAAATATCCCAGTCTGTTTTCTTTGCACACCACAGAGATACTGAGCAAAAGAGGCACAATTTATGCCCAGCCAACTATACTGCCCTTCACATGTTTTTCTATTGTACTTCTTGTGTTTCTTGATGCAATTAATGACTTTCTATTGCCCAAAATGGTCACAATGCACAGTACCACATTTTATTTGTGAGTATGAGGTCACTGCAAATCACTTTCTGCTATTCCCTCTTGAGTTTTTCCAAGCCCAAGGCTAACCATTTCATCCTGTCAGAAGGTTATACAATATGAATGTCAACAGCAGTCTTGTTCAGGCCTAAGTTAGACGGGTCTTCAAAAGTTTGTCCATCTGTAATGGCCTCTACAATGCTGAATCATTGTGTCTTCTTCTAAAGTCTCCACAATAGTGTTTGTTGAGGCACAACTGACCATAGCTGCACATTTTTCTCAAAGATTCTCTCTGTCTGATAGCCGTTTGCAGATGGACCCCATAGAATGTACCCCAAGGATATTCATTTGCAGCTCTAATGTTCTGTGGCAAAAGGACTGAAGTAATTTCAGCTGAAATAAATTGAATCTTGAGCTCATCGGAAGCTTAAGTTAAGCCCGCAGGTACAACCACCTTCCTCTTTCCAAGCAAAATGGACAACAGGAGAAGGTCTGAAATCTCAAATATATGATAACATAAACAGTGACAGAAGGGAAAATTGAAATGAGGCTCTGCCTCGCTCAGTGAAAGTCGAATGTGCTGTGGGAGACGTTGTGATTGTCTTCAGTTTAAAGCATGTAGAGCAGCTGTTTGCTCTGAGCCTGTTTGTGAAGAGAGAAGCAAAGCGTGGACACATGCCACCACAAAAGGCAGTGGTCTATTAAATGCCATGCTTTTACCCAGGGCTTACTGGCTTCTAAGCACTAAATCAGAACGGTCAGGTTTTATAACACACTGTGCCAGACACATCCTCCTTTGCACATTTAATTACAATCCCTCTGTGATCTATTTTGACCATGTTCTTATTCTCCGCAGAAATGATTCACTGTGCTGGCATCAACTAGCCGTTCAGTCAGGTATCTACATGTCACTCCTTTTTTTTCGTCCTCCCGCCTTTTACAGGAATTTAAATTGTGATCCGACGGAGCACATGAAAGGGGATTTTGAGGCACATCATTTCTACACTCAGACACAGATACATCGGAGCATTTCCCTCCTGCTGTATCCCCGTCTGGCTTGTGCTTTTTATAGAAATACAGCCTCTTCTATTTTTCTATTGCTTTATGTATATTATATAGATGGCTGAAAATAGCCAGAGAAAAATAGCCAATGTTTCAAAATCTCTCTGAATCGATCCTTTCCAGTTAGATTACCTTTTAAAAGCACTGATCTTTATGTCTTCAGTCTTATCTTACACATAACATGCCATATCTGTTTTGAAAAGGTGATTTTAAAGCAAATTTCATTATAATGATTAACACAGCATCAAATAAAGAATGTTAATAAATTGCATTGTGCCATCTCAAGCCAAATTAAAATCGGTACTGTAGGTACGTATGGTAGGTATGCCTTTAATAGGGTTAACTGCTGTACTGTTTATTTAGCCATTAACTAGCCTTGTGCTAAGATAATGAAACTAAAAGGTATTTATTCAATTCAATAGCCTACCTGTTTTCATTTTTTACTGTACAAAACCATGTGTTAACCATTTAAAGGGTTGCCCCTACTGATATATATATATATATATAAAATGAAAAATATAATAAAAAGTGAGATTGCATCCTGAAAGAATGCTGTCATCATCAATACAATGTCAACTTAATCCAAAATGTTAATCTACATATCTAATCTATGTATAAAAATTATTATCTATTAAAGGGGTCATGCTAAAAAGGACATTATTTTGTGTATTTGGTATAATGAAATGTGTTTATGCAGTTTAAGGTTCAAAAACCACATTATTTTCCACATACTGTACATTATTGTTTCTCCTCTATGTCCCGCCTTTCTGAAACGCATCGATAAAGAATATCTCTTTGGATTTGAGACTTTAGTCTTTGCAGACTAAACTTTACAGATTACTTAACTTTACAGATCTTCTTTATGCACCAAGAGCTTGCAACACTCCAAAGAGAAAGGAAAAATTGAAATCGCATCAGATGACCCCTTTAAAAAAATACTTTTCATAGTCATTGTATGTTCACAGTGACAGCTCCCTTTTCATAGAATGACCCAATCATGTCCCTTCCTCCTAAAGGGTTGTCCCTAAATACAGTATGTCCATCTACACCCCTTTTCCATGGACCTCTAACCCCTGGAACAAAAAAAAAAAAAAATACTTTGCTGTAATATTTATCATCAACATCCCCAGCGGAGCTTCCCTCACAAGATGTGAAATCGATACGCTTTATAGCCCCAAGATCTTCGTCCCACGCAAACCTGCCGTACTGTATCGGCAAGAGGAGAGTCAACGGAAACACATCAATGCACGCCGGACACATGGTACATATTTCGCGTCCTGTTTGGAGGGACGCACAACGGAAAGTCCGTTCGCTCCGTCACTGACAGCATTTTCACCTTGTTCTCTCAGAACGAAACATACTGACTTTCATGGAACGGGTATTTACAGCTTTGCGCAGCAATAATCTGACTAAGGTGGCTTGATGAATTCATACAATAAAAGAGAATGTTTTTTTTGTGGTTTTAAAGCTTCTGACAAGAAAGTTCGCGCGGTCCTGAACAGCTCAACTGAAAGATGCGCGCGGACTCATACTACTATGAGGTGCGGTGTACAGTACGACTCTTTTAAGCTTTACCGTGTTACTGTCAGTAATTTTACTTGCTTTTCAGGTATTGCCTATGTTTAGTAAAGGCGGATATCTGTTGCTCGAGAACTGCTTCAACCATAAACGTTTAGCCGGTTGCTGATTGTTTCGGCGCTCGTGTTCATCTTTAGAAATCACAGGTATTGTTGTTTACCGAGTTTATCGGCGCCTCACGGGCTTCTGCAATGCGAGACTCGGATTCAAACCGTTTGACATTTCTTTGGAAAGCCAGTCGACTGTCAAATTGTCACTGAATCAAATCGAATGAGCCGGACACCTGGATTGCTGAGTCGCAAGGTAAGACATGTACATTTCCAAATATGAGGCTGAAATTTGTCGGTCGCTCACATTGAAACAGTCTCCTGGAATGAACAGATATTGTCACTGTATCGTAAATACCTAGATGAATTACTGCTACGAGGAGTTATAGCCTACTGTAGCCTACAAATGTCTAAATTATAAGCAAGCCTTCGGCGAGAGTGTATTACAGTTTGAATACCTTTAAAGTACATTTTGATGCTTTTTTTATGCGCTTTTGAGTGAAAAGTTGTACACTGAGCAGTAGATAGATAGATAGATAGATAGATAGATGATAGATAGATAGATTTTTCATGTTTGTGCATTAATTTCATTATTGTTATTATTATTAGGATTATGGATCATTCAGCTCTCATTCTCTGCTAAATGGTAATGGTGTAGGCTACTGCTAAAGATGCCCTGTAATTATTCACTAATTCGTCATTCGTCAAAGGGGAAAGGCACTCTGAAAAACAATTGTTCTCTCATCTTCCTGTTCTGATTTACCCTTCATGCACTGGGTGCATGAGTCACGAGCCAGGTTGTATGGCTATGAGTGAAACAACATCAACAGATAATTATAAATATGCAAATTAATAGAGTACAAATAGCCTCTTAGTATTACAAGTCCACGTTACTTCGTTCTTCCAGCCCTCTCTTGTACCAGCATTGTGCACTGGGAGATTAAATTGCATACATGAGTAGCAAAAGTTTCCATTATCCATTTTACCCGACACATTAACACTGCTAAAGTGTTTTCAGCCTCTATCCTATTAGAATTCAGATGGGCCGAGACTCATAAGGCTTAATTGACTAAGACACCGGCAAGGGGATTTGATTGCACCTCAGCACAAGGAGGAAGGTGCTATAGCTAATCAATGAAGAATGAAAGCATGTTGCACCTCTCTCTGTTTAGGATGCCTTAAGATGGAGAAAAAATGCTATTCACAAACTGTGAGCATTTACTCATTTAAAGCTGCTTTGAAACAATTTTTCTGCAATGGACAGATTAAGTAACACAACAAGGTCTATGGAGTGGTTGTTTGTTTGTTCTAAATCACTGTCAGTCTGAGTCACTGCACCCATATGCATTAGTTTTATTTGTCTTGCATGAAAATTAAAATATTTGCATATCCATACTAATTACTTAGGAAACCTCCTGTGTTGTGTGACCCTCTTCATTAGTGACTTTTATAATCCCGTTTAACCCTATTAGAGATAAAAATGGAAGAGCTGAGAAATCTGTGCATTGTCTATTTATTTACTATTTATTTGCTGGTTTTAATTGATAAAAGGTCTGTGTTTCTGTATATTGGTCTGTCACATTGTGACAGAAATTGTGAAACTGTGTGGGCTGACTGGATTCTAATAGGGTTATTTAACCATGGTCATTTCCGTTTTACTTGTTCTTGGAAGGTAAACAGCCTTTTTTTCTATCATACTGTTTATTTCTTCCTGTACGGATGCTATTCAGACTCTCATTCTCACCTGACCTTGACAAAGGATATTTTCACACTTAACAGGTGTTTCTAGAGATGCAAATCTATAGCTGCACACAAACACCACAGTCATAATGAACAGCTAAATAGCGGTTGCCATGATCACCATTTTAAAAAGAAGTTTCCAGTTTGAATGTTTCCGGGTAGGACTTTAATATTTAATCTTTTCAAATTCCTCTGATAAGATTCCATATAAAACATTCATAAAGCTAAAAAATAAAGAAGTGAAATGCACGTTTATTGTGAATCTTAACGGGTCTTTAAAACGATTTGAAGGACTCTCTGACTCAATTCTGTACGAGACACTTATTTGTGATTTAGAACAGTGAATCTCAACCTTTTGGCGTACCGGACCCCAGTCCAATTCAGAACCATCCTCAAGGACCCCCAGAACAAAATTGACTCATCTATGTATCATTTGTGTGTCTTTGTGAGGACCAAATACAGTCAAGTATATTTCAAGTTAGCTGACTTGTCCAGTATCTGGCCATATCATCAGCTATATTGGATTTTTCTTTCATGGGAACATGTCATGTCAAAATATACAAAATTTATACAAAAATTCATACTTTATATGGACCCCCTGGCCTTACGTCAAGGACCACTAGGGGTCCACGGACCCCTGGTTGAGAAACACTGATTTAGAAGACACTTTTTATCCTAAGCTGAATTGCTTCAGTCTAAATGATGAAATGAGGCAATTCTACTTTTCAAATGTTTCAACAGAGCAATTCTGACAAATTATAGCTGCCTACATACTTTTGCTTGCTCAATTGAAACTAGACATAACTATAACATCATCTACAATAATATTGTCATGTGAAATTATGCAAAGATGCACAAAATTAAAATGCTAGCTGCCTTCAACAATACCATAAAATAAAACCCGAAATTCTGGTTGTCTGCAAAGTGTATTACATTTAATTTAGTGTTAAATTCAATGAAAAACAAAGGGACACTCAGTACCAGCTGCTGTCAATTGATGGAAATATTGTTTCACATTCACAGCAGAGTGTGGATGTGTATTGCGAAGGAATGAAAAAAATGTCTAAATTAAAATTCCACAATGATTTTGCACTAATGAAAGCGTTCTGTACAACCAATTCTAAAACTATAGCTGTAAACACTAACCTCTCAGCTACAAACAACAGCATATGCTAGCATGATTCATAGGCCAAGGCCTGTCTCCCTTTGACAAGAAATGCTTTAAGGCCATGTGAAATTTCACATTTCCTAGATCCCAATGGCAGTTAGAACCTGGGGGATTTATGTTTTCAATTGCCAGGGCGGTGCAGACTACAAGCATAGAGTAGCAGAAATGGAAATTAGGTCTGCTGTGACATGCTAATGCAGCTCATACTGGCATAAATGCAGAGTTTGGGCAATTTTAGCATGGCCTGATTTTAATTACGAAAAACAACACTAAATAATGCTATCAAATGATTAATGACAAAAAGAACGAATTGCATTTGAATTTAATTAGTAAGCAAAGACACCATAAATTATAAAAACATAATTTAAACTAATTTAAATTATTTTAAAATATTATATAATTTAAAGATGTAAAAGCTGTGGCTGTCGTTTTATCTCTCATTTCTTTTTGTCGTTATACAACTTAATTGCTTCAGTCTTACATAACAAGACAGCCCATGAACACACTATTCATTCTATACTAGTAGGTGTCTTTCACCATAAACAGACCTTGTTTTATTTAGGCGGGATGAGAAATTATGACTAGCATGGGAGAGGAAGCCAGTGGATGTGAGGAATGGATCTGCAGCAGCCACTTTGTTGAAGATGCAGGTTGAAACTGTCCAGGAATCAATGCAGCGAGAGAGAGAGAGAGAGAGAGAGAGAGAGAGAGAGAGAGATAGAGAGAGATTGACATTCAAACTGGGAAGGCTCCTAGAATAACTAATCATCAATCTATTCCCTAATTCATAATTTGATCTCTAGAGACTAGAGCCTCTTTTCATTAGTTAGCTCTGATGGTGTAGTATTATTGCACTGGGAGACTGTGCTCAGTAGATGCTGACTGTGTTTAAATGTGTATTGAGAATTGGGGGAGCTCAAACAATCCGTGAAGCATGAAGTCAGCATTCCTTGACGCATGATCCAACATTTGACAATCCGCAGAGGCATTGGCACAATCAAATCAAAAGCTCTGAAATAATCTGCTTTCTATCTGATTGTGTTGCTATTTTAATCACAGATTAATGAGGAGAAGGTAAGAGAGGGCACACCAACGACTGCAGGCACATGCGGTTTCCTCCAATCACAAGAGAGTTATGACAGGATTTAGATCTGAGTACAATTGATGTGCTTAGTTAAAGAGCATCATAAACCTGCAAGACTATTTAACTTCACATCAGTCACACATTAAAGATACTGATACATATTAGTCTGAGGCTCAGACTACAGCCCACCCACTGACCGTCTGATATACACTGCACAAAAAACTGGAGAGCAGTTTTTCAATCTGGCAAGAGCTAATCTAATCCGTGTATCATTCGATCATTCGTTTTTTGATTTAATATTGAAAGTAGAAAAATGAGAAAACGGCTCCTTTTTCGTTTTTTTCCAAAAAACGAAAAACGAGAATTCAGCTTAAATTTTCGTTTTTCGTTCATGGGTGGAAAAATGAATAAACAGCTTGAATATTTGATTTCTACATGTGGGTGGGAATTAAACGCCCCTTTCTGCTGATTGGTCAGCCAGAGATCAAACCGTGCCTTCTTCAGTTCTTCCGCAGTATCACGCAACAGAATAATAGTCCTCCACTGCTGCAGTTGTACGGGTTAATAACCCATTTTATCAATTTCATATTTTTCTCATCAAACAGACTAATGAATAGCTTGACACAACTTGTACAGGGGCAGAGTCTAGACAGGTCTTTCTTCTGTGTAGACCAG